GTCAAATTCAATAAGTGGTGATGATAAGCACCCATGGCAGAGGAGTAATTGGCTACATGGCGGCCAGAAAATAAAAACATCAACCAAAGAACTCCTTATCTGTTAATGGTAAAGGAGGGCAATGTGTAGCCTGTATAATTAAAATTGTAAACCGCACGGAGAGTGCTTGTAGCGCTATGGGGCGGTATATAAGTCCAATAAATAAATAAATAAAATAAATAACTGCGGCAACTGGTAAGGCAGTAGGAAGATTGGTTGGAAGTCTTCCTCCCCTTCCAACTCTTGTGAGTCCCAGTTGAATAAGGTAAGTCCTTCAGACGATTAGGGGAGCAGTCTTTCTTAACATGAGCCTGACCAAACTCAGTCTCAATACAGTTGCCGGGACAGAGAAGGCTGAAAGGGTTAACAGCGGTTTAGGTTGAACCCGCAAATACTTTGCTGCTGGAGCCGAGTTAGAGGGAGCACTACACCTGTGAAGCGTATGTGGAGGCGCAAAGCATTCCTTAGCTCATGGCTCAGAAGAACGCCTGATGGAGTGGGGCAACAGTGGTGGTATAAAAGCTCATAGGTCCTATACTGGATAAAAGGGACTGGTCCTGCATGAACGTGTCATGTGATAGAACCTTCCTGAGGAAAATTACCTGGGCCTACCCAACAGCAGCAGGGTTCTTGGGTTGACTCCTATGAGTCCTTTTCCTACGAGCCTATGCTGGCACCGGCAGCTGAGGCAGGGCTGCAGGCTACTATTTGTTATGAGTTCAGCCGAAGATCCAGAACCTGAGGGGTTAACTACACCTGAGGAGAATGCGAGCGATTAGAAGCGCAGACAGCTGAATCGCCACCAGATTCTCCTCGCCCAGTAGCCAGGGTAAGGGCTAGACTTCAGCAAAGACTTATGACACAAAGGTCAGAGGATCGCCTGAATGCTGCCCGCAGAAACATCCGGTCAGCTAGTCCTAAGTATTGACAGGATGAAAGCCTTCTAGAAGTTCAATGGCTGTTTTGCTATATAATCAGCTCCCAGATGGCTGGGAAGCTTGTGGAAGCAACAAGTCAAATCTCTGGCTCACTCTTGACTACCTTGAACCTTGTTCTCTGGACCCTTGGCTTTGGACTCTGACCCTGGACTATGTTGTGTGATTTGACTTTGGGCCCAGACCTCGGATTACAGTTTGTGATTTGGCTTTGGCATTTTGGTATCAGCTCTGCATTCTCTGAACTTCTGATATTGGACTGGCTTATCAGACTTTGCTATTGAAACCCCTGGGAACGTGACACTATGTGAACCAGCCCGTTGATAAAAGGGGGCTGTTTTGTGCCAACTTATCAGCCACCAAACAGGTGCTACCCCAGCCAGGAATATCACTGACTAGCAGGGCTAACAATCGGAGTTGCAGCCCTCGCTTTTTCAAAGGCAAAGCTAGGGCTGCCAAATGTTGCCGGAAAGCTCTTGCTTTGGCACCTAGCGGATTTTGGAAATAGCAGATGTGTGAACAAGCCCCTTGATAAATGAGGGCTGTTTTGTGCCAAATCCACCCAAAGGTGTTAGTCCAGTCAGGCATATCACTGACAGGTAGGGCTAGCAGCGGGAGTTGCTAGCCCAAAGGCAAAACCAAGGCTTACCATATGTTGCCAGAATATCTACAGCCTTGGTGCACAGCTCTCTCCAGAATTAGCAGTGGGTTGAACGAACCCATGAAGGAGGGCTGTTCCACACCAACCACACACAGAGGCTTTACCCCATGTCAGGAGTCACTGACAGGTGGGAATAGAATATCTACAGCCTTGGTGCACAGCTCTCTCCGGAATTAGCAGTGGGTAGAACGAGCCCATGAAGGAGGGCTGTTCCGCACCAACCACACACCCCATGTCAGGAGTCACTGACAGGCAGGGAAGGCAACCGGTGCTGCAGGAGGCCCTTTCTTCTCCAAGGGCAGGGCTGCAGAGCCCTAACTCACTGCAGGTGAAACAGCTGATCTACAGCCTTGGTGCACAGCTCTCTCCGGAATTAGCAGTGGGTAGAACGAGCCCATGAAGGAGGGCTGTTCCGCACCAACCACACACCCCATGTCAGGAGTCACTGACAGGCAGGGAAGGCAACCGGTGCTGCAGGAGGCCCTTTCTTCTCCAAGGGCAGGGCTGCAGAGCCCTAACTCACTGCAGGTGAAACAGCTGTATGAATGAGCCCCTTAAAACAAGAGGGCTGTTCCATGCCAACCTCCGAAGAGGCTCTACCCCACTGGCAAGCGTGGAGGGAGGCAGGAGCCACGGAGGTCCTTTCTTCTTCCAAGGCAATCCTAAGGCTGCAGAAGCCCAGCTCACTGCAAAACAGTTGTATGAACGAGACCCTTGAAACAAGAGGGCTATTCCACACCAACCTCTGAAGAGGCGTTGCTCACTGACAAGCGGGGAAGGCAGCCGGAGCTCCAGGGTGCCCTTTCTTCTTCCAAGGGCAAAGCTCAGAAGCTGTCCTCTTCTATTCTGCTAGGAAGAGGAAGATTGCAAACAGGCAGAAAGCTGCTGCTCTCAAGCCTGGGGTAGCCTTATAAAGTAGGTAAAAGAGACCTTATTTCTTTAAGAGAAAAGTCCTGAGGGCTGCAAAGCCGGCTTTGCAAAGCCTCTACAAAGAACAGCTAATGCCAGCTAGTACTTTATCCCCCAGACAAAAAAACCACAACTTGTTACAAAAGAAAGAACAAGGGGAGGTCAAAGAAACGAAAGGAATGGTTTCTACTTGCGAAGTTCCAACGAAGCTGCTGCTACAGTGGCGGTTGAAAAAAAGAACTGAGGCACTAGTGCCAGGGGCGGAGTTATATAGCTGGTGTAGGGGAGGTCCCAGCACTAAGTGCTTAAAGCTATGAAAGTTTCCAAAATTGCTCTGCTCTAGCGCAGATTAACCCATTAGTGTGTATTCACAGAAGCCACGAAGGAGACCCAATATGATGTGTTGGGTAGCATGCTGGACTAGACCTCAGGGCATAGAAATTAGGGGGCTAACAATGGTAAATCACTCCCTGAATATCTATATGACGTAACATGAAACCATTGTTAAGGTTTACTATAAATTGGATGTGACATTATGGCACATAACAATGAGATTATCATTCCCTGTAATAATAAACTAGGCCACTTTCCTGCCTGCAGTTTGAAAGTGAAATGGAGCTACTGAAAAATAAAGTGATGTTTTCATATAATTGTACCACCTTGGTTTGTTGCTGTTGTTATGTGCTGTCAAGTAGCCTCTGACATATGACAAATCTATGAATGAGAGGTCTTCAAAACATCTTTTCCTTAACAGCCTTGCTCATCTCCTCAAGCCTGTGTATTTTTTTTAGGGAGTCAATCAATTTTGAATTTGATTTCTGCCACCCAGTAGATGGACGGGGTATAAATAAATAAATCTTCACTTTTTCCTGCTGCCTTCAACCTTTCCCAGCATTATTGTATTTTACAGAGAATTTTCCCTTCTCAGGATCTGCGCAAGGTAGGACAACCTCTGTTTCAACATTTTTGGCTCCAGAGTTAGTTCAGGCTTGATTTGTCTTGTTCATCTTTCTGGCAATCCATGGCATTTGCAAAGCTATTCAAACATATCTATTTTTGTGATGAGCAAGACTGTTAAAGAAAAGATGTTTTGAAGACCTCTCATTCATAGATTTGTCATATGTCAGAGGCTACTTGACAGCACATAACACACCGGATTTCAAACATATCTATTTTTATGTGAGTTTTCTTTACTGTCCAACTTTCACATCCTTACACAGTGAGAAGAAATACAATAGTGTGGGTGGTCTACATCTCCAGTGACACATCCTTGCACTTGATTATCTTTTATATTTTTTCACTGCTGCCCTTGGTACAGTAGAATCCCCTTATCCATGGGATAGCCACTGATTGTCTTATCCATGGTATGAAAATATTAAAACTATTAAAAGAATCCCATTGAAGTTACCAGAACTGGCCACTAGAGAGAGACAGACACCATGCTATGTAGAGCATTTGCTGAAGAACTAGATTTCCACAATGTCATTACCAGAACTGGCCATTAGATAGAGCCAGAGACAATGCAATTTATAGTGTCCACTATTAAAATAGTGTTCTGTGCTTTTCAGTATCTCAGGAGGGGGGGGCTTGGAACCAATTCCCTGTGGTTACGAGATCCTTCTGTACATTGTTGTACCAAGGTGGCACCCAGAATTTTATAGGCTTGCAAAAATAAAATAAAACAATTTATTTAAAGTATATGTGTTGTGGTGATAAGGAACCTCCACAGACCTTTGAACTTAAAGGTACTTGACATAGAAATGAGAGTGAAACTGTACATTACAGATAGACCATCTTTAGAAAGTAAAACCTGTTAGTGTTCCAGAGAGGGGATTCAGTAATTGAGCAATCGTCTTTGCAAACAAATCCTGGGCTTAACTCACAGGGATCTGTTATAAAACCGAAGTTGTTTTGGAGACTTAGAATTGTGAAGTTCCCCTCCTGTGAGAATTAGACATTTTGGGTGGTTAACAAATTCCCTGTTGAAAGAAATAGTTTTCTATAATATGTAGTGTACTTTCAAAGGGAATAGGTTGATACAGTTATAAAATGCTCAGCTTTGGCACTAGCATCTCTCCAGTATAGTAACAGGACTACCAATGGGGACGGAGGGCAGAAGTTGGAAGAATATATTGTCCAGCTAGAAATTCTCAGCCTATATGGCTACTGGCCTTGGTGGCTAGGGAATTGTGGCATTTTTGTTCCAAAATGTTAGCTTATCAAGGTGGGGGAGGGAAGTCCTCTATTCCCTATCACCCCTCCTAGGAAACTTGAATAATAGTATAAGACCTGTTCCAAGCTGCTCTTAACAGAAGTATCCCTCTTATGGATCGATTAGATGCTACAACTTTTTCTTTTTATTATTTTGAATAGTTGTTTATTGTCTGGGATCTCACCTTAGATAGATTAGTTTTATTAAAATTAAAATGTCATTATTTTTGTTGTTTGTTTTCTAGGCTGTGGAATCGATATTGTGTGTGCCGAACAAACACTTTGAATTATAAAGAGTTTTTGCAGTATCTTGGCATAAATTTGGACAAGAAAAAGAAAAGAAGTACAGAGAATCAAGATTCAGGTAGGCATTTCAGTAGACATTGGTTGGCAGAGCATTAAAATGTAACTTATTTGTTCCTCACTAAGAGCAAATACAATTTTATGTCTCAGATTAGTTTTTTAAAAATGTAAGATGCCTGATGCATTTAGAAGAATGGTTATCCAATATGCTCTATTCAGAAGTTCTGAAAAGTTCTTAAGCCAATTTAAGTTCAAGCTTTTTATCTACAAGGAGGCTTTTTTGTTTTACATCTGATTGTGTATCAAGGAATCTTAATACTTTTCAACATGTAGAAATTCTTTGGGGAGCCTTCTGAAATTCAATTTTTGGTTATTGACAGTGATGGGCCCACGTCTGCAAGGTTTAACAGTTGCTGTTTACAAAGTAATATTCTTACTGAAGTAGCAAACTTTAGCATTTGGACTGTACATCTTCTGAGTGCAACCAGTAGACTCAGCTGGTTGTTGTAGGTTTTTCGGGCTCTTTGGCCGTGTTCTGGAGGTTTTTCTTCTTAATGTTTCATCAGTCTCTGTGGCTAGCATCTTCAGAGGACAGGAGTTTTGGGCCAAAGAGCCCAAAAAACCTACAACAACCATCGGATCCCAGCTGTGAAAGCATTCAAAAATACAGTAGACTCAACCGTTTCAGTATTTTATGATTAGAGAAGTAGGTAACATAAATAAAATTAGTACATCAGGGAGAATGCTGTATTTCAAACCTTTTCCTTGACACCTACTTTTCTACGTGTTGTGTGTGTGTGTTGTGTGTTGTGTGTGTGCACATGGAATATGTGATCACCAGTTCTCATTATTTCAATCTTTTATTGATTAATTTTATTAAATGATAATTTTAATATGCTCCTTTAATTGAAAGCTTTAATTGATGAATTAATTTTATGCACTCTTTTATTGATTAATTTTATTAAATGATAATTTTAATATGCTCCTTTAATTGAAAGCTTTAATTGATGAATTAATTTTATGCACTTCTCTTAACATTTGAACGTTAATAAATTAAATTGCTGTAATAATGTACTATTATCACATGAGCACTGACACTAAGATTTCCAATCTGTGACCCACATACTAGTGGAGTGACTGAGGCAGAGAGGCCACAGTATTTTGCCAACATAACGTGTGAAGCTGTTTTAAAAGTTTTTCTGAAGAAATGAGGTTGAGTTGCCATAAGAAATGATCTCTTGACACAAAACAACTAACTCCGGTGCATTTTTTGTGGTTTGTTTTTCTCAGTATTTTCTGAGGAAGTATTTGAACCTGGCCACACAAGTAGCTGCTAAATATTGCATACTTTATCCTTTTTCTTTTTTCCTACATCTAACTTCCAGGGGAAGTTGGGGTTCCAGCATTTCTTTTTCTTAGAACCTAAGCACTTGACAGCCTGAGTTTTAATGATTAATCAATAAATAATCTTGTGCCATCGTGTAAAGCCTGATGTATGGCAACCTCCAGGTAGAGAATACTCAGAAGTGGTTTCCCATTTTCTTCTTCTGGAGGCACCCTGAGACTATGTGGATCGCTACTGTAAGATTATTGTTACAGAACAGAATCCACTAGGTGAGAAATAAGGGAAGTATCTGCAGAGGAAACCAAGTGGGAAAGAAATAGCGGGGGCTGAGCTGAATATGACTGAAATTTTAAGATAGCTTGCAGAAATGGGCCAGATCCACAAGGAAATGAAGGCTTTCATTTAACTGTCATTGAAGTACTTGAGCATGGAAAAGACTTTGTGAAAGATTCTCTAGAGACTCTTGCATCCAGTGCCATACACCCATCTTGCCAATCCTAAAATTAATACAAAAGCATGACTTTTAAAAAAAAAGGTAACGTAGAAGGAAGGATTAGTTCTCATTTTACTTTGTTTTTGAAAATATTTTGAAAATAACACTTATGTGAAATGTTTGTGTAATTCATTAACAGAAGACAAACCTTTCAGTTTTAAAATATTGAGATCACAAACAATGGAATTGCTTGATTGTGGACTTTCAGATGAGTGTTACGTATTTCATTATCCTCAATGAAGTTTTGAATTATTATGGCAATAACTTATCTCTTGTGGGTTCATGAACAACACACTGGTATTAGTGAGAGAGCTACATTGCTGATTTTTATTTTGGGAAGGGGCACACCATTGAATCATATAATAATGGAGTCGGAAAAGCCCTATAACATCATTGAGTCTATCCCCCTGCTCAAAGCAGGAATCCAGATTAAAGTACATCTGACAGATGGTTCTCTAATTTTTTTTCCTAGAATGCCTCCAGCATTGGAGCATTCACTGTCTCCCAAGGTAATTGGTTCCTATGTTATACTGCTCTGATAGCTAGGAGGTTTTCCTGATATTCAACCAAAATATGGCTTCATGTAACTCGTGCCGCTTATTACATATCCAGCACTCTGGGAAGATAAATAACATATCCTGCTTCCCTCTCTATGACATTTTTTTCAAGTATTTGAAAAGTGCCATCATCTCTCCCTTCACTCTTCTTTTCTCAAGGCTAAACATGCCAATGTATTTCAGACATTCCTCATAGGGCTTAATTTCTAGTCCCTTGATCATCTTTGTTGCGCTCCTCTGAACATGTTCTGGTAAATTGTGATTTCCAGAACTGGACACAGTATGCAAAATGAGGCGCAACCAGTTCCAAATACAGGGGAACTAGTCTTTCATGGGATCTGGAGGCTATGCTTTTGTTAATGCAGCCTAAAATAGCATTTGCTTTTTTTTTCTTGCTGCATTGCACTGTTAATTCATAATCAGCTTGTGATATACAAGATGCTTCTCACTTGTAGTATTACAGAGCCAGGTATCCCTCATATTGTAACTGAATTTGGTTTTTTCCCCTGGGTCTAGGCACTTTGCCCTTATTCTTGTCAAATTTCATTATGTTGTTTTCAACCTAGTGCCCAAACTTATCAAGATTTTTTTTTTTTTGAATTGTGCTCCTGTGTTCCAGGGTATTACCTATTCCATTCAATTTTGTGTCATCCTCAAACTCGATAAGCATTCCCTGCAACCCTCTCATCCAAGTCATAAATGAAAAATGTTGAAGCGTGTGGGAACTGAGCCCTGTGATACCTCACTTGTTTCCTCCTCCCAGTTTGAGACAAGGTTGTAGAATGAAACCTTCAGCTGGACTGATTCAAACCAATGTAGACATAAAGATACTTGAATGCGAAGAGTACTTACTTAAGACTCTGGTGAAATGGATTTAAAAGCATAATTTGTATGCTGGAACTGTCCAGGGGGAGAAATCAGAAACAGGCCTTTGGCATTTCTAATTTACATGCCTCCTACACTTTTTTATTATTTTGGTAGTCTTGAGTGCCATTAAACAGGAAATTAACTCATTAAACCTTTTTTTTGAGGGAAGGGGCAACTAAATTAGTACTATCTTTATTTGCAGCCTAGGTTCGGTAGAAAGTTTCAATAAAACTATTTTTCATAAATATGGAAAACTGGGGAGCTGCTGCAGTTCTCTCCATGGGGACATTGACATTGACATTTCATAGAAATATATGAAGAAAAGCTTTAAAAATTTTAAAATCCCTACAGCTAAGCTGAGTGTGAGTTTGATTTTTCATAACACAATTTACATATTTAACAAGGGAGAAAGGTTTCTTGAAAAGTAAACTGCATGAAGAAGAGAAAGTATTTTAGTCGTGGTCCTAATTATCGCTTAAATGGGCCTATGCAAAAGCCACTGAAGGCTGACTGGTAACACTCCAGAGAACTATACAGGTTCTGAACTAGTCTGAAAGTTATAAATATCCTCCCTGTCATGTATCTATAGTGAGGGTGAGGCTAGGTAGGTAGGCAGGGGCTGAGAGAGATGATACAATCAGTCACTTGGGCTAGGCAGGTGGAATATGTAGAGGCACTGTCTAACCTTTTAGGTCAGTTAAATCAAAGAGCTATCTTGAGCTGCCTCAGAGAAGCGTAGTAACAATAATTGTGTGTGACATTAAATCCATTCTGACTGATGACGACCCTTTCCAGGGTTTTTTAGGCAGGGGGTACTCCAAAAAGGTTTGCCATTCCTTTCTTCTGGGGGTGACCCTGGGATTGTGCAGCTTGCGCAAGGCTACACGGGCTGGCTCTTCTGGGGTTATGTAGAGGCACTGTCTAACCTTTTAGGTCAGTTAAATCAAAGAGCTTCCCTGAGAAGTGTAGTAAAAATAATTGTGTGACATTAAATCCATTCTGACTGATGACGACCCTTTCCAGGGTTTTTTAGGCAGGGGGTACTCCAAAAAGGTTTGCCATTCCTTTCTTCTGGGGGTAACCCTGGGATTGTGCAGCTTGTGCAAGGCCACACAGGCTGGCTCTTCTGGGGTGCACAGTGGGGGATTCCCAGTCTCTGTCGCTGCAGCCAGATACTTATGAATTTTAAGAGCTCTGTAAATGATCATTTTGATCAGGGAAAAAAAAATAGTATAACTGGGATACAAAAACAGAGAAATCCCCAGCTATGTGTTATCTTCCATTTTTTGTAACACAAAAGACTATCAAATACTTAGTTCCTAGGCAGTGGTACAGCAAACATTTTGAAATCGAGCAGTGTGTATGTTACACAACCTGCCTGAACTGCACAGCTCACGTTGGATGACTTAAGAGTCTCCTGAGGAGCATGCACAGAGATTTTTAGATCAGCTTTGTATGCTTGGTAGGGAAATGTCTAAATTAGAATATACTGCAACTGTTTTGCATTGGTGGTGCTGGAACATGTCCCCTTCAAAATTTGCTCAATTGGATTTCAGAATCCGTGCCAAAAAAGAGACTTTCCTCTTCTGCTTTACACTGCTTGTCCAAGGGAGTCCAAGTGAGACAGACAGCAAATGAATTCTGAAGAAGGTGGTATATCCCAAATGCCTGCCTATAAGAATTCTTTAGAGGGAGGCATTTGTTGCGTCCACCCTCGTGCCCCTTGCTTGACTGTCGAGCCTCAAAGCACACGAAGGCAAACACTCTCTTCTTTTACATTTGTCGCCACCAGGTGATCTCTAAATCACCATTACTTCAGAATCTTTCAGGTCCACACTTCAAGTTCTTTTAACTAAAACTTTGGTTTATTGATTACAGAGATTCATAAATATCTTCAGTAGCTAATCACCCCTCAGAAGTTCCCAGACGCCACACTCTATTACTCTCTCTGATTCTTACTGACTTAATCTCTACTGACTGCCTCTCTTACATTTCTCTTACTCTCTGACTGACTGACTCAGGCGCCGCCTCTTATAGCATCTCTCTCGGCTCTACCTCTCAGCAACATTAATATGCATGAAGTATTCCGTTACATAACAAACATGAACCATTACATAATATAGCATAAACCATAGCATAGGCATCCTTCAGTCTCGAGAGACTATGGTAACATGTTCTGAATCGAGCAGTGTCCTCTCCAGAGCATGAAGCCCGGGTAAAGTAATATGGAGGATAGGCTGTTACCCAAGCAGCAGATCCCCCCTCTCCACATTGCTGAAGCATAGACCATAGATCAAATAAATAGAGAACGCTGCAGCATTATATCTACCGGTGCCTATGTTACTGTGGTACAGACAATTGTCCAGGACCCATTGCCTATAATGTCTTGCTCTGAGGATATCTCAAGAAAAGACATTTGAGACTTAACTGGTTCTGGAGAGTGTGCAGTAATCCCTTCTCTCTTGCAGCATTGCCAGAACAGGGAAGTGGCTGGCACAGCTCTGTAGGTGCCAGCAGTACCCTGCCCTAAAGAGCTAGGCTGGTTAAACATGAGCAAGGCTCTCCAGAGTTGTTTCAAGGACCATCCCGGTGATAAGACAGGTGCATGATTTCTCCATGTTCTCCACTGCCTGACGTGGAAATTCTCCTCTACCTTATGAGGCAGGTGGCAGTCACAGAAAATAGGCTTTATGGTCTTGCTGGCATTGCAAAGGAAGTAGGTGAAGAAACAGGCCTTCAGGTCTTGCTTGTGTTCCTGAAGGTGACACTGGCAACACAGGAAGAACTGGAGTTTAGATTGGATCCCATTTATGGTTAGCTAATTTGGGTGCAGTCAGAATCAATCTAATTCTAGCCTAGCCAGGATCCATCAAATTCGTTTTAAGCAAGCTCGTGCTTAATTAAATTTGGAATCACTGATCATCACTTGTATGAGCCGTTTGGGTGCAGGGGAATCTCTAGAACAATTTTTTGTCCTGTTACACTGTATTGACCCATGGACTAAACAGTTTTTTGTTTTTGTTTTGTTAGCCAGTGTGGGTGATGAGATGGGAGATTTTGTTGGCCATTGGATGGTCTTCTTTAGCTGATGCTTTGCAGAGGGTAAAACAGTTCATAATGTGAGGCAGGAACATCTGGTAAAATGTTATCCCCATTTTAAAAACATCATTATTAGTTTTACATAAGATAGTATTTCTCCAACTTGTCTAAATGTTCAGTCAGGTCTGCCACACTTTCCATGCTATTTTGCACAGTAAGAACATAAACAAAACATCACAAACATTAGCGTATATACAAAGGAAAACTGTTGGTCTCTGTTAATGTTGGTATACAGACACAGTTACAATGCAGGGCAACTTCCACCACTGCCATTTACATTTTTAGGTTTTGCAAAATAGGGTGTGCTTTTTAGTGGTTATTCAGGGATGGGACAATTTTGGGGGAAATGGAAGAACTTGACAGGCTTTTTCAAAGGTTTGTCAGAGTGTCCGTCAACGTTTTAGCTTTTCCAGAATGTCTTAATTTCAGGGGCATTTGGGGAAGAAGGTGACAGTCACCATCACAAAAAATGGCAACCCCACTGATACCTGCCCTGCAGGACCCCAGTTCCTGTCAGAATGGGGTATTTTGGAAAATTACCGTATTTTTCGCACCATAAGACACACTTTCCCCCCACAAAACAGGGGGGTGGAAAGTCTGTGCGTCTTATGGAGCAAAGAAAACAGATTATATTTTCCTGTTTTCTTCTCCTAAAAAATTGGTGCGTCTTATGGAAAGGTGCATCTTATGGAGTGAAAAATACGGTACTCTCCCTGCCTTCCAAATCACTCCCCAGTTCTGTAAAATTCAGGAAAAGGGAGGTGGTTGGACCCCTGAAGTTTGCACTAGATGTCAACATTTGTTCGCATCAGCATTTCTTACAGTAATGTGCTTGTGGCTAGTAACTTCGATATTGATACCAGAGCAGGCATGGCAAACATATTGGTTGCATACACTGTAAGCAAATGTGGGGATAGGTATACTGACTTGCAGGGTAGTTGTACAGGTTACCTAACTCATAATAAGTTGAGAGCATTTCATGTGCAAAAGCAGTACAGTATATAATAACTTAGTGGTGGTTTTCTTACTATTGTTAATAGAAAACTAATAGCTACTTTGCTAATTTATAGCTTTTCTTAACAGTGCTGAAACAAAATGAGCCACCAGAAAAAAAGAAAAATGAATCAAGGGTACTTGCACCCATGACGCCTGGATATAATTTGACAAAAATCCACCTGGATGCTACTGCAAGGAGTTTTAGAGAAAAGGTGAGCTCTCTGAGGAAGCTTTACATATGTAACCATCCCATTTTTTTTAATGCACAAAGAGAGAAGAAAGTAAATGACTGCCATGTTGGACTGGTGGGAAATTGCATTGTCGATTTAATGTAATGTTCTTGTTTATTTCACTTATTGGTGTGTGGCTTTTGTTTGTAACAGGCACATTCACATCAACATGTAGGCCGCCTAAAATGGCATCCTAATTCATGGGGACAAGACTGGGGAGAAGACGACTAGTACTAGAGAGAAAGGAGGCAAAAGAAGAGAAGAATGTGTGTGTGTGTGTTGGGGGCTAGTCAGTAGGAATACTGGCCTAATGCAAACTTGCATTGCTTAATACCAGCCAGTAATACCATTCATAGGATCTACTGCTAGCTGTGCCATTAGCTAGGATAGTAAATTTAGGGATACCATTAAACAGCAATGAGTTCTCAGTTCTGTGGTTTTATTATGATACTTTAAGCATTGTGGTGAATATATTTTGATTTTCTCTCCTTGGAACCAAAGTACCCTGATCTATAAGTCTTACTAAAAGCTTCTTGATGAGGTAGCTGTATGTCTGTCAGGCATCCCACTCTGTTGTATGTCACATAATGAACATGGCAGTTAATTCATGGCTTCTTAGCTAGGGTCTAAAAAACCCCAATGCAGTAACAGATGCAACTCAACATATATTTTGCCATCAAGTCACTTGTAACATATAACCATTCTACAATTGTTAACAATCTCCCAAAGCGCCTATCATTAACAGCCCTGCTCAGTTCTTGCAAACTCAAGCCTATTGCTTTCTTTATGGAGTCAATCTATCTATTTGTTCTTCCTCTTTTCTTACTGCCTTAAAACTTTATTTTCCATTAGGGATAGCATTAAGCAGCAGCCATTAAATAGCAGCCAGTTTAATGGAGTATTCTTTTAGAATTGTGATCGGTTCAGTTTCTGTAGCTTGAAATAGTGCTATTGTTAACCCATCTATCCCTGGTGTTTTATTTCTTCCAGTTGCTTTGAGAGCAAACTTTTACTTTGTTTTCTAAAATTGTAGGTTCTTGAACAACAGATTCTTCTTTGAAAGAATCTGTCATCCTTGCACTTTTTCTGTCTTTGAGCACATCTATATCATGAACTTGAAATGATGGAATAGTTATTCCATGTTACCAAAGATTCCTGGAAGTTATAGATCTGCAGTGGAGTTTAGGAGTCCCTTCCAGAGGCTTCTCAATAATCTCACAAATTATTGTTCCCAGGATTCTACATGGCAAGCCTTGGTAACCAAACAGATCCATGATTGTACCATTGATATGTCCAATATACTGTATATGCTATTTATGTCCTTTTTTCCAACCCAGTGCAGTCATTTTCATTTTATTGTCCTCTGCAGGTTTATTTAGATGCAACCCAGGATATTCATCAGCTGGGCAATCAGCAGTTTATAGAGATTCTTGTTTCCTCAAAATGTATTATCTTTTCTCTTTCTTATACTTAAAGCCTTGCTTCAGTTTGACTAGAAGTTAGCAGAGGTTATCTGCTGATGAGAAAAAGATTTTTTTAAAAAAAAGTAGCTATCAAGAAGACCAATGTGGAATGGGGGCAGATTCTCCCAGTCAGGGTCTTAGGTGATAGTCATACTTGATATAAGCTCCACACATATTTTGTGGTGTCATATTGTCACACAGGTTGATAAGCAAGGCTGTAGGCAGACTATTACACTGTAGTCAGCGTCAGCTTTCCTGAATTTCCACTTCTGATATTCCAGTTTTATCTGGCTGTTAGTAGTGAGATATGCTTTCTAGTTGCGATCTGTCTAATATTTACTAAAATATTTTGTACAAAATGTGCAAGGGTCTCAGTAACGTAAGATTTGTTTTCTCCTGTAAGTTCCCTTTCACTTTGATCTACAACCTTGGTTGCATAATATTTTCCCCTGCCAGCTGGGGTGTATCTAACAACAAACAGGAGGGCTTTCTCAGACATAGTATCAGTGCTGTGAAATTCCCTCTCAACTGAGTTCACATCTTTAAGTTAAGATACAGGTTTTTAGGAGGCCTTCCAGCAGTTGTGTGGGTGGTTGTCTTTCTTCTGTTCATTTGTTATGGTGTAAGCCCTGTTTTTGATGGTCTTTACAGTGGTGCCTCGCTTAACGGCGATAATCCGTTCCAGGAAAATCGCTGTTAAGCGAAAACATCGTAAAGTGAAAATTAAAAGCCCATTGAAATGCACTGAAAACCTTTCAATGAGTTCCAATTGGCTTAAAACTCAGAGTCCAGTGAAGATCCTCCATACGGCCATTTTAGCTGCCTGTATAGCGAGGAATCTGTCCCTAAACACAGCGGGGAGCCATTTTAGTTACCCGGCGGCCATTTTGAAACTACCAATCAGCTGTTTAAAAATCATCGTTTTGTGAAGAATCGTTCCCCGATCGGGAACCGATCATCGCAAAGCGAAATTCCCCCATTTAGACCATTGTTGCGATCGCAAAAAGATCATCGTAGATCGCAAAAAGATCATCGTAAAGCAGATTCATTGTAATGCAGGGCAATCGTAAAGCGAGGCACCACTGTATATTGTTCCTTTATGTCATCGGACAGGTTTGGTGTCCTGTTTATTTTTAAGGAGTGTACTCACTTTTGTTGCCAGCGGTTTAGACATTAATGGCTGTGTGTTGCGTTATTTTGAGGGGACAACACATTTACACTGTTATACAAGCTGTATACACACTGCTTTATATTGTAGCCAAGTGTAATTTCTTCAGTGTTGTCACATGAAAAGATATACTAAAATATTTATGAAATGTGAGGGGGTGTACTCACTTCTGTGATATACTGAACCTTTAAAAAATAAATACTGAATAATACTTATACACTACTTGTACATATACCTTAAAGTAGGACTGATTGTGAGGCATTACAGTTGAAAGTGTGCCATCACCTCTTAGTTCAGTCTTTTGTCCACTTATTGTAGATAATATGTAACTGCAATTTGTGACTGTAGGCTCAGTCAGTGTAATCACTTCCCCACTCTGTATTTTGAGGAGTGATGTTTGTGTTAATGAGCTTCACTGATTCAACTTTTATGTCTCAAATATTGGCCAAAATTGTGCTGGCATGCATTTGATTGATTGATTGATTGATTGATTGATTGATTGATTGATTGATTGATTGATTGATTGATTGATTGATTGATTGATTTGATTTCTATCCAACCCATCTAGACAAAAGGTCTACTCTAAGGCTTGTTTAACTTGCCACAGTTAATTGATGAGGTGCCAGGCATGTCTTGGCCACATGCCTGATGACATGCCTGACTACACAATTAAGATGCACTCTGATACTTTGTCAATTAGCTGCAGTTAACTACAGTGAGGTTCACAAATCTGACATGAACACCAGTAGGATTCTGCCCATTCTGCCCATTGCATTTTCCTTCTGCGGGTAAGACCAGTTAGTTCCCTAGTTGTAAATTTCACATACTTGTAAAATTTTAAATATACATATGAACAGAATGATAACAGATATATCAAACTACTAGTGCAGTACACTGAAATGTCTGTCTGAACTCCAAAATTAGACTGAAACTGTTAAAGAATGAAATTTACATTCGCTAAAGTTTCTCTATTTTGTACATAAAGGCAGAATGGTATGTAAGAAGACATTATTATCCTCCTAAACCTTGAGCCTGTATACAGGGGAGGAATACAGTCTAGTTAGTTTGTGAGTTAAACTTTGGATGATCAGAGCCTCCAGGGCAACCTTTCTGAACAGATCTTGCAGAAGGGAATTTGCAAGCCTTGTGAATAATTCCTTATCTTATAAAGCTTTGTAGGCTTAGTATCATAGGAGGAAGACACTGTATTATATATCCTTTGCAGCTGCGTTCAGCCTATGAAGATATTGTAAAAGCATTCAGAGCATTTGATGTCGGGAGGAGTGGATTTGTTTCTTTGGAATATTTAAAATCTGTCCTGAACACCTTTGTATTTCCAATAAGAAGTGATGTCTTTCAAGAGCTAATGAATAGGTAAGTACTATGCTATTTTCCCTTGGACATATTCTACTTATCTGACCTCATATTACCCTCATTACTTTTTGTGAGCTTTTATTCGTTACACGGTATGCTTGACTTAGTGATGTAATTCATCTGATGTGTAGAATCTTACATCTGTCTCATAGGCCTTTGATGTTGTGGTTGCTGCCCTGCCATGGTTGAATTCCCCTGCTGCCTTAGAACAAATGTTAATAATCCTCATCAGACAGCTCTTTCCATATCAGAAGCTGTGTACTACTGCTAAGTTACCATATGATACAAAAGTTGCTCTTATTATAGAGGAAAATTGGAAGCTGTCTACAGGGAAATGGCAATTAAACTACACATAGGAGAAAAGGAATCTGAACTCCTCTATGCTAGGATTATATCCCTCTGAATTCAACCATGCTTACTTCCCATCTCCTTGTCCCACAAGGAGGTGGGACAACAGCCACAAGTGGGTGCCCTTGTGTGTTTTATATAGGGTTGTGACAAGCTGGAAATAAGTGACATCATGGATACTGATCCCACAGATATGTGGGTCCTGCTGCATATACATACACATGATTAGAAGGGATACATAAATAATGCATGGCTCATCTGATACATTCAGATGCTTAGACAGAGCAGCAGATGACTCTCACCCCTTATCCACCCATGTGAAGGAGCAGAGTACCCAAGGGCAGCAAAAGATTTGTTGGCACAATAAGGCAGGAAATCCCACATGGACTTTGTCACGATCCTCTCTCTCTAAAGAGATAATGTTCTTGGTCAGGGGGTCACTGTGGATGCAAAACTACCACTTTTATTACCTGAGGTAGGTCCTTTAGGCCTCAGAAGTGCATAGTACATTCCCCATGGACAAGACCGACCTGAAAGAGAACTCTTGCCTGCTTACAAGGCAGTAAGCACAAACCATTGACTGTTTGGTTCCTTAGAATGCACAACAGACTGGCCAGGTTGGACCTCCCAATATTACAGTAGCAACTAGTGACCTTTTCAAATCATCACAGGATTTAAAGAGACAAGTCCTCTGTTGAAGGATAATTGTTTTATTCAGAAAATAAAGTAGTTTCATTAGAATACAGTTGTAGCATTAAACGGCATAAAGCATTAAGCATATCCAGTAGTAGTTGTTGTCGTTTAGTCATTAAGTCATGTCTGACTCTTCGTGACCCCATGGACAAGAGCACGCCAGGCCCTCCTATCTTCCAGTGCCTCCCGGAGTTGGGTCAGATTCATGTTGGTCGTTTCAGTGACACTGTCCAACCATCTCGTCCTCTGTCGTCCCCTTCTCCTCTTTCCTTCACACTTTCCCAACATCAAGGTCTTTTCCAGGGAGTCTTCTCTTCTCGTAAGATGGCCAAAGTATTGGAGCCTCAGCTTAAGGATCTGTCCTTCCAGTGAGCACTCAGGGTTGATTTCCTTCAGAATGGAAAGGTTTGTTCTGTTTGCAGTCCAAGGGATTCTCAAGAGCCTCCTCCAGCACCACAATTCGAAAGCATTAATTCTTCGGAGGTCAGCCTTCTTTATGGTCCAGCTCTCAATTCCATACATTGCTACTGGAAAAACCATAGCTTTGACTATGCAGAACTTTGTTGGCAAGGTGATGTCTCTGCTTTTTAAGATGCTGTCTAGGTTTGTCATCGCTTTCCTCCCAAGAAACAGGCGCCTTCTAATTTCGTGGCTGCTGTCACCATCTGCAGTGATCACGAAGCCCACAAAGGTAAAATCTGTCACTGCCTCCATATCTTCCCCTTCTATTTGCCAGGGGTTGATGGGACCAGTGGCCATGATCTTTTTGTTTGTTTGTTTGTTTGTATGTTCATCTTCAAACCATTTTTGGCGCTCTCCTCTTTCACCCTCATTAAGAGGTTCTTTACTTCCTCACTTTCTGCCATCAGAGTGGTATCATCTGCATATCCGAGGCTGTTAAATAAGCGGGGAGACAATACACAGCCATGTCGTACTCCTTTCCCAAGTTTGAACCAATCAGTTGTTCCATATCAAGTTCTAACTGTTGCTTCCTGTCCCACATATCGGAGGTAGATAAGGTGGTCAGGCATTCCCATTTCTTTAAGAATTTGCCATAGTTTGCTGTAATCCACACATTCAAAGGCTTTTGTGTAGTCAATGAAGTAGAAGTAGATGTTTTTCTGGAAGTCTCTGGCTTTCTCCATAATCCAGCACATGTTAGCAATTTGGTCTCTAGGTCCTCTGCCCTTTCGAAATCCAGCTTGTACTTCTGGGAGTTCTCGGTTCACTACTGCTGAAGCCTACCTTGTAGGATTTTGAGCACAACCTTGCTAGCATGTGAAATGAGTGCAACTGTACGCTAGTTGGAGCATTCTTTGGCACTGCCCTTCTTTCAGATTGGGATGTAGATTGATCTTTTCCAATCCTCTGGCCACTGCAGAGTTTTCCAAACTTGCTGGCATATTAAGTCTAGCACCTTAACTGTATCATCTTTTAAGATTTTAAATAGTTCAACTGGAATGCCATCACCTCCACTTGCCTTGTTGTTAGCCATGCTTTCTAACTTCACTCTCCAGGATATCTGGCTCAAGGTCAGCAACCACACTATCTGGGTTGACTGGGACCTCCAAATCTTTCTGGTATAATTCCTCTGTGTATTCTTGCCATTTCTTCTTGATGTCTTCTGCTTCTGTGAGGTCCCTACCATTTTTGTCCTTTATCATGTCCATCTTTGCACAAAATGTTCCTTTAATATCTCAATTTTTCTTGAACAGATCTCTGTTTTTTCCATTTCTATTATTTTCCTCTATATCTTTGCTCTGTTCATTTAAGAAGGCCCTCTTGTCGCTCCTTGATATTCTTTGGAAGTCTGCATTCAAGTTTCTGTAACTTGCATTTTCTCCCTTACATTTTGTTTCCCTTCTCTTCTCTATTTGTAAGGCCTCATGGGACAGCCACTTTGCTTTCTTGCATTTCCTTTTCTTTGGGATGGTTTTTGTTGCTGCGTCCTGTACAGTGTTACAAGTCACCACCCATAGTTCTTCACGCACTCTGTCCACCAAATCGAGTTCCTTAAAGCTGTTCTTCACTTCCAATGTGTATTCATAAGGGATTTGGTTTAGATTATACCTGACTAGCCCAGTGGGTTTTCCTACTTTCTTCAGTTTAAGCTTGAATTTTGCTATAAGAAGCTGATGATCAGAGTCTCAATCAGCTCCAGGTCTTGTTTTTGCTGATTGTATAGAGCTTCTCCATTTTTGGCTGCAGAGAATATAATCAATCTGATTTCAGTTTTGCCCATCTGATGATGTCCATGTGTAGAGTCGCCTCCTGTGTTGTTGGAAAAGGGAGTTTGTGATGACCTGCTTGATCTCTTGACAAAACTCTATTAGCCTTTGCCCTGCTTCATTTTGAACTCCAAGGTCAAACTTACCTGTTGTTCCTTTTATCTCTTGACTCCCTCCTTTAGCAATTCAGTCCCCTAGAATGAGAAGAACATCTTTCTTTGGTGTCAGTTCTAGAAGGTGTTGTAAACCTTCATAGAATTGGTTAGTTTCAGCCTTTTCAGCATGGATGGTTGGTTCATAAACTTGGATTACTGTGATGTTGAAAGATCTGCCTTGGATTCATATTGAAATCATTCTATCATTTTTGAGATTGTATCCCAGTACAGCTTTTCCCACTCTTTTGTTGACTATGAGGGCTACTCCATTTCTTCTACGGGATTCTTGCCCACAATAGTAGATATGATAATAGTCTGAATTGAATTCGCCCATTCCCGCCCATTTTAGTTCACTGACGTCCAGGATGTCAATGTTTATCCAAAGATACAGGAGTATCTTTGCCAAGGCAAGGCAGCAATCCGTGAATGGGATCCAGTAATTACCACAATTCAAATAAGCTTACTATTTCTAAGTAAAATAATAACAGCTAAAATCAAGCTAAGTAATCATCTTTGCTCTCTACATGTTAGCATCTAGAGAAGCTGGGCTCTTTCTCCTTCAAAAGACAAACGCAAAAGACAAACGTCTGACATTCCACAACATCCACCATCACCATCCCAAGAACCATTTTTCTACATGTCTCTGTACCACCTTCTTCATGACACTTCCAAGCTGCTAACCAATTAAGATCAAGTGGGTGTAATACAGTCTACTCCTTCATTTCACATAAGAAGATCCAGGTGGCTTATCTTGTAGCAATTAAGCGGCATGTGTTGTTTCGGCTTCTCTGGACCTCCTCGGCCTTACTTTCTTATCTTCGTGCCAGGCCGAGCAAACTCTGCAGAACAATCTAATGAGAACATTTCACTGCTTTCAAACCCATTGTATACAGAACCTAACAGACCCCATCTTTGTATGACTACAAGTCCCAGTTTCCTCCTATTTCCTCACAGACTTCTTCTCCCTTCCTGCCATTAAAAAACCATGGTAACTATTTCAGTAACTAACATTTGTCATTCCTCTTGCTGCACCAAATCTGTTGCCTGAGGGTGTTGCCTCTCTTAGCCTTCCCAAATATTATTTACCCTTGGAGAAGAGAAGAGAATCTGAGAAGAAAAAACTCATTGAAACTTTTTCTTATGTATTTATAGCAAATCTGACTGCCATAAGAAAATATTTTCAATTATTAATGTCATTCGTTTTTGACATTAGTGAAGAAAGGGTATTGGTGGAACAGGATTGTGTCCTGTATGGTATTTTACCTTTAATCTACATTGTGGACTTTACAGTGACTGTAAGATGTTAATAATGAATAAATAATATAATTAGAGTTTTTTAAAAATCATAAAATTTTAGCTGCTTTTATCTTCCTTTAGGAAGGAAAGGGTACAAACATTAAATCATTAAATCATTTAAAACAAATGAAATAAGCATCATTACAAAGATAAATTAGTGCAAGGGTAATCTAGAAATAAGAGAAAGAATAACTGGTGAAAACCACCGCACAATTAATTCTGTGCCACTTTGGAGTTTAAATGCTTAAGTACTAGTAAACATTTCATACTGGTGTGCATCAATGAATCATCTGAATCTGTCATGGCTTTTATTACATTGAAGATTCATCAAATCAATTGCAAATTGTTGCATCATGTGCCAACATAACTTTGTTGACCTCAGGTAGTGTACTCCTTAGCATGGATAGATAAGGATTGAGAGTCATATGCTATTCTGTCTCCTGGCTACAGCTACAACCAGCTGTAGTGATGATCAATTACTGCTTAGTGGAAAACCTTCCTGCTACTGTGTTTTTGCTTCTTTTTCCCCCTCTCTTAAGTGCAAAGAAAAAAAATTGTGATAATCTCTGCCCACGGTTTTCCAGGGGGAACTTTCTCTCCCAAGAATGGAAGAGTATGGTGTCATTTTAATGATGCTATAAACAGAGATGTCTTAGACTGCAACTGCTATATATTCAGGTGATGGTGTGTGACTAATATAATTCCAAAGTTGCAGCACTATGAATTCAGTACAAAGACCATCCTTAGTGATGTGATGCAGCAATGAAACACGCAGCTGGCTTTCTTATGATTAAAAGTTAATCCTTTTCAAAAGATTTAAAGCAAGTTTGGTCCCTCTGCTCTGAAGGTACTCAGCATATTGGAACCCTGATTTTAAATATTGCTCCCATTTCACATGAGATAGTGTAATATTTTTTATGAATGTTAGAGTTATCCATGAACATTTTATTGCTGTCTCTTTCTAGACATTTTTATTGTATAAAATCTTGCATGGTATATGATCAATTCTGTTTATGTACCATTGAAGGAAGAATGGTATTGATTATCATGTAAGGTTCTCCCTTGCTCATTGTTTGTCCTTATTTTCACGAATGCAAATTCTTTGCCTAATTTCTAAAACTAAACCACCACAAAATAGTGGAGACCGAGGCAAAGAAAAAAATACTTTTCCTTTCACAGAGCACAGATAGCAAAACTGGCCATCATTCAGTAACGCTATTGGGAGTGTTTTGTATCTCATGGCAGATATGGAGGATAGAATCATATGAATTCTGTTGGGGTATTGTTCACCTAATATGAGTTGGTAGGGAGAATCTCAGACATAGTAGCAAGAACAAATCTCCTCATCCTTCCTATTGGGGAGAGTGGTCCCACCCATTTTGAGGGAGGTTGTCATGCCACTAGTCTGGAAAAAAATGGTTTGTACCTGATCAATATAATAGTACATGTCTCTTTGGAGGGAGGATGCTTGAGCAGCTGGTAGCTGCACAGATCCAAACACTGTTGGATGATCGGTACACAGGAGTACAAATGAGATTTGGGAGGGGTGAGCTGGAAGCACACTTGGTGGAGTTTCTCCACTCAGCAGTCCAGCCAAGGACCAGCTGAACTCGGTCTGCTCCTTCGCCATAGGTGGGGAGGGGGAGAAGAGATAGGTAACACATGAGTAAAAGAGAGAAGAATCAAAGCCATGGAGGGGCTTATAGTTAAAGGAGGTAGGGGTTCCCTTCAATGCGTAGCACTCTATGAGTTGGATGGGGAACCTCAGGATTATGCCCATGAGTGATGTCCCTCTGGATTGCCTGCCTGTGATGAAGAATAGTGGGCACCATTTTATGGTGATTCTGTCCTTTCTAAACAGGTTCTAGAGTGTTCTGCTAGAGAACTATATTTTGCTTCTATAAGGTTTTATCTCTTTCAGCATATACATGCAACTAGTGGTTAATGTATGAAACCTATGCCAAGACTAACAAGTAGAGCTTCCTCCAGTCATACTGTCCGTTAATGAAAGTTTTGCTGCTCATATTGGTGCTTCTAGAGCAGATTACACTTTCTTTAAGGAGCACTTTCAAATACTGGTATACTATTAATGACAGCTGTTACTTTAAGTACGTCGATGACTTTCATGGTGCAAACTAGTTTTGGCCAGTTTAGGCTATGATGTCTCTTGGACACAGCTAGACCTATTAATAGTTATCACTACCTGAATAACATTCCAATTAGAATGAAAAACAATCCCATAGTAGCTTTTAAAACTAAGAGGTTTTATTTGGCTTAAGTTCTTGTGCAGTGCAGCACACCGCTAGAATTGCAATAAGAATCTTCTGCATCTTAAGAAATGTGTTGCAGTTAGTGAAAATGTATGCCAGTAACTTAGTCTTAAAGGTGCTAGAGTGACACTCCTTCATGTGCTCTTATCAACTAAAATAGGATCAGTGGGAACCAGGGAAGTGGCCTTCTCGGTGGGGATCACTCTCTGTAGAATGCCTTTTCTGTTGGGGCTTGAAAACTTCCAGTGCTTTTTAGAAGACAGGTAAAAGCTTGCCTGTTCACTGAGGTGTTTAGTGGTCTCCCTCCTACATGTCGTACTGGTCCCATCTACAGAATCTCTTTTTCATCCTCTGAACTCTTCCACTTCATTGTTTTAGACATCACTGTGTAGACACAGCTTGCCATTTATCATAAAAGTACATCTGTCTGTGTTTAAAACCCAGTTTTGAAATGTTGCATGTAAGTGTATCAGTCAAACAGTTGGTTTTATGGCACAAATTTATTGTTTCCTTGATCAGATTTGGAATCAAAATTTCAAAAAACATGGCCTGGGAAAGATTTTTAGATAAATTTCAAGACCCCTGGACATTTGACATGAGTCGGGCATCTCCCATAGTGAAGCAACACAGGTAAGAGAGCTGTTATATTTGTTGGCCAACGTTTTTGGCCGTTTTTTGTTCCAGTAGATAGCCCCTGTGTCAATGTTTGTGCCATCGTGTAGGGATGTTTCAAATTTTGAATTTCAGTATTTCTAGGTTTGCCACTAAATATATGCTTGAAAGGGAGGCAAAGCAAATTTCATTTCCATGGTAAGTGTACCTAGCTGATAAATACACTTTCGAAACATACATTTCTTGTATTCACATTTTGCATTTTTGGTATGTATTTCAGACCTAGTAAGTGTTCTTCTAACAATATGATGTCTGAAGGCATATCACCTTGAACAGCCCAAATCTCATCTGTTTTCAGAAGCTAAGCAGGGTTGACTGCATCCAGTACATTCCAGCAGGATTCAGAGGTCCCCAAGTGGTGCTACAAAACAAGCCTTCTCTTTGAAACCATGGAGCACCACTTCTATTGAAAGCTGATAGTACTGGGCTAGGTGGTCCAGTAGTCTGCCTTAGCATAAGGTAGTTTTCTGTATTTCCCTGAAATTCAGTACTAATATTGACCAAATCGTTCCTTCATAATGATCACTGGAATTCTTTGCTTCAGTGATCAGGAGTTGATCTGCCAAGAAATCCCTGGATGATCCATAATCGTTATATATTACAAATAATTCTGCAGTGTATTCTACAGTATATTCTAAGGTGAACACACAGTTCACACTGGCTACTATCAGAACTATAGAGTCTTTCTCACTCTATTTGAATGAAGTGTGTGCTCTAGAGTGCATCATGTATTATCCTGAAACTGTTCATTGTACAGGAAGATCACTGTAAAGGTGAATGTTCATTCACCTTTTCCAACATTATGTACATTTCAGTCCCAAGAAGGGAGACAAAAACAATGCAGTAGCTATAAGTCCATTCATTAATTTCTCATTCAAGCGAAGTGAGACCCAAGGTTTTACAACAAAGTGATATTCAAGCTGAATTTAGAAAAGGAAGAGGCACTAGAGATCATGTGGCAAATATGCACTAGCTAATGAAGTATACTCAAGAATCTCAGAACAAAATAAGTTGGGGTTTTAGAGCTTATAGTAAAGCCTGCTACTGTATGTATCATGAGAAGCAATGAATGTATCTAAAAGAAATGGGTGAAACAGAATGGTTTCCTGTTGACAAAGATGTTAAAGAAGCATTTTATCTGTCCAGCTATTCAATATGTATACAGAAAGCATCATATAGAAAGCAGTATTAGATTCAGATGGAGAAGGAAAAAGTGGAGAAAGAAATATCAGTACTTAAAGATGTGTGAATGACACCATATTATGGGCAGAAAATAGCAGTATAACCTGGGGAAGATGAAAAATGCAAATGCAAACGTGCTGACTATTAAGACTTAATACAGTGGTGCCTTGCTAGACGATTGCCTCACAGGATGAAAAACCCACAAGATGATTGGTTTTTGCGATCACTATGGTTCCTCACAAGACTTTTTTTCTACGACCGTGCTTTGCAAGACGTGTTTTTTTTAGACCGATGCTTTGCAAGACGTGTTTTTTTAGACCAATGCTTCACAAGATGTTGGTTTTTTTAAGACCAGTGTTTTGCAAGACTTTTTTTTTTTTTGAGACCGATGCATAGGGAACCTTGCAAGACAATTTTTTTCACAAGAAGTCGATTTTTGCGGAACGAATTAATATCATCTTGCGAGGCACCACTGTATAGCCAAACATTTTCTATATCTTGGTTCAATCATCAATGGAAATTGAGACGACAGCCAAGAAATCAAAAGAACACTGAACCTTGGAAAGTAGAAAAATTCCAGAATTGTAGAGGTCTGTTGCAGCAGGTCAGGATCACAACTGTCCATACTATGATACTCTGTTTCATACTATGCATCCATATACATGTGCATGGATATAAAAACTGGACAATTGAGACAACTGACTCATTTGAAATGGGGTGTTGGCGGTGAGTTTTACAGAACTGTTGAACTCCAGAAAATAACAATCAGATTCTAGATCAACTCAATCCTGAACTCTCAGTTAAAATGGCTTAACTCAGACTTCTGCTGATATGTGCTTTGGAGATATGAGAAGACCAGTTCACTGGAAGCAGTAACAGTGGTAGGAAAAGTGAAAGGCAGTAGCAAGAAAGAAAAAAGAAAAGAAAAAGAGAACCAATTATGAGATGGGTTGACTTGGTATAGTATGCCAGAATGTGGGTAGCTTGTGAACTGGGGTGAGGGGTATTACATCAATGTTTCAAGGAGGGCAATCACCAGGTCTAGTTATGAGCTGTCACTGAACCACATGCTTTAGTTTGCAAGGCCTGAACTTGGCTGTTAATGGAAGGATCTTTTTAGAGGTTATTAATACAGAGAATCCCTGTAAGTCAGTAGCAACTTGATGGCATGCAATAAAAGAAGCATAGACTTTTCTTTTCTGAAAATGATTGTTCTGTTTTTCAGCTAAATCTTTATTGGCAACATTGTTCCTATATTCTGTTTCCATTCCCTAAGAGAAAATTTACTTTCATGATATATATATTTTTTGAAACGCCCAGGTTTCTATACTTGAGGAAGGATGAGAAATTACTGCTATTTTTTGTAGCCTGAACACAAAGCAAAGAGAGCCAGATGTAGGTAATGTGACTGTATGACACAGATACTGGATTATAGCAGGCTGTTTTATATTGAGTTGGAGATCATTGATCCTTCCAGCTCTCCCTAGTCCTGAATCCAGGGACCTTTTGCATGCAGAGTACATGGTCTGCTACTCACCTGCAACTCCTGTACTGCTTAAGTTGCTGTTGAGTTGACATTCTAATCCCTCAAAAGTTAGGTATATGAGCACACCCATAGATTATTATTCAGTCACTATTTTTTCCTTACAGAAGCAGAAAACTTGATGAAGATGTGTCTAGTGACCGAATTCTGCTAAAGCTGCATGGGCATATCCAAGATGCTTATTCTTCCCTGAAAAAGGCCTTCCTCATGCTTGACAGAGTAAGAACAACTATTTATAACCATTATCTATTTTTCTCTATCCCTGTAATGTTTATGTTCTCCAGAACTTTAAAGACCTTCCACAATTCTTTAATTTTCTCCTCAAAATCTGAACTACATGAGGTTTGCTTTACAAAGCAGTAGCTGGAAGTATTATGATGGGGAAGCCTAATGCTACACCAAGAAGGATACTTGTAAATTAGAGGGAAATGACAGAACCGAAATACTGCTGGTGTAATATGCTTACTTTGTCTGAACAGCTCACTGCATTGGAGCACCTGACTGTGGAGCCAAGGGTCAGGAGTTTGATTAACCACTTTTTTGCAGGAAGAGCAAAAAAGAAAACCTGTCAGTTAAATATCAGTGTAATATGTATGCTGTTCCCAATATTTCCTGTTTTTGCAGCTCTGGTGTTGTTGTTTCAGATATATGTAGCTGGGTATTTTGATCACTGACATGTGTTTCATCTAGAGATGGGCATTAACTGCAATTTTTTTTTGGCCCAGTTCAGCACCACGACTGCCCAGGTGTTATACAGGCACCACACATTCCCAGCTTCCACCTCCTCTGTATGCTTGCCCATTCCCTAAGCGATGCACATTTCCATCCTCACCTCGACTGCCCACTCACAGATCACAGCATACATTCTCTGTTCCAGCTTCTCCAGTGGGTACCCAATCAAAGGCAGCACTGAAGGTTTCCCTGCTCTGCCTCCTCATCTGAGTGGGTGGCTGCCAAAGGAGGCTGAGAAGAAATGTACATGCTGTGATCCACAAGTGGGCAGTCATGCTGGGGGGGGGAACACGCATCACCCAGGAAATGGGTGCGCACACAGGAGGTGGAAGAGGGGAGTGCGCGGCAACTGCATAACATCTGTGCAGGTGCGGTGCTGGATTGGTCCCAACCACTAAACTGTGGTTCACGCCCATCTTTAGTTTCATCAAGAAATGGGATGAACTTCCAAATCACTGAAGAGGTGTTTGGCAGTTCCCAGCTGTGCCTACTCCCCCCACTGGGAGGTGGGGCTTGGAACCATCAAACACCTCTTCAGCTGAAGGACAAATGGGCACAAATCACCGGTTCAGTAGTTCATTCCCATCTCTAGCTTCATCTTCAAGAAAGTTATTTCTATTACCACATCTCTGTATTTTGTTCATTTTTCCAGTTATTTATCTTGAAGTTTGGCATCCCCTGGAATTGCAGTATCAATTATCCAAATATTTATTTATTGCATTACTGTTATCTCTGATGTATTATGCTTTGTCTGTTTGAATCTGAAAGTTCCACAAGATCTTAACTTGGTAATTTTTGACACTTTCCCTAACTGATGTTCCCACAGATTCTTGGATGTTGGCAGATTATATTTTTTAATATATTAATTTTGCAACTCTATTTTGTCTAGCTTTGTAGTCTGTCTGCACAATTTTTGAACATTTGCAGATGAAGTGTGACACACTTTCATTTTTTTTTTTCTTGGAAGAACTGACATTTGCTTTTTATACTAATTGCTTGAATTTTAGCTTTCTTGACATTAATATGGAGTTCTTGTATTATTGTTGTTGTTGTTCTTGTTCTGCTTAAATTACCTTCATTAAATACTATTAATTAAATAGAACTGAACCCTGCATGTATTGTACCACTGAAAGTTTAGAAGTTTATGCTTGGAACTTCCAGCTTGACGCTGAGATGAGAGCAGCAGGAGGATGGAGCTCTGTCCCCTGGGCTGAATTCCAACCTGTTTGGGACCCTCTAGGGGGTTAAAACTGCCCTGAAGAGGTGGTGACATGGGGGTGAAGCCTGTCGATCACGGGGGGAATGGCGGTTACCTACGCTTGATCCAGGAAACTCCCCAATCAACCAGTGGGTGGAAACAAGCAGCTGAACTAGCTTGCTTGCAAGTCGTCGGTAGCCAGCAATGGAGAAGTGATAAATCAGCCTAATTAACGTCATGTTACCACTGGGTGAGAATTTTTTTAAAAAAACTTTATTGCTTTACTCTCCGTAGACGAGGCAATTCCTACGGCAGAAATAGCGTCTTCTATTCCCCAACACTGACTGAGCAGCAGTGAATCTGGAGAGAGCAGGAGACACAGGGAGACAGAAGGAAAATAAATTGGATATTAATTAGACATTTAATTATACTTTAAGGAAGGAGGTCTGGTATTACTTTGTTGTTATAAACTTAAGAACATTTCTCACGAAAACATCTTAGGCAACAATTCTGGGGAACTAAAATTTGTTTATGCTACTTGTAACAGCTATTTAATGTGTTGGCAAAAAGCCTGGAATCAATGACCTTGAACACTTTATGGATGTTTGGAATTCCCTTTCTTTTTGAGATAAATTAATCCTAGAAAGCCCAATTCAGCCAACGTGGAACCTCTAAACTGTGTCCTGGGTTCTGAACTTCATGGGACCTTGAGCCTTTAGGTGGTGAACACTCTCTACGTCTGAGACTGGATTCAAGTTTAACCCTAAATATGATCAATCTATTAAAGAGGACCTATGGAAGCAAGTATTGATGGAACTGGACTGATTAAGCATCTGGACAACTTTCACTTGGAATGCTGTTATTTGACATCTGGGACATAATGGCACAACAAGGACAATTTTGGGATGAAACAAAATCGACTCTTCAAGCAATTTTATAAATAGTGAGATCCCATAACAAAGAGGTGAAATTATTCAAGAAGCAGTTGAAGAAGAACTATAGTTGACAGGAGACAGGGGATAATGAACAAGGAAATGAGAGGGTGGTGGATGATGTATGACAATCAAAAGAGGGGCTTGAGGAAAATAGGAGAAAACCTAGGAGATTTAACTCTAACCCTGAAGCCGAGGAGAATTTTAGGTGTGCTAAGGGAAGATAAGGGGACAGAATTAGCAGATCTAATTTAAAAGAGCCTGCATGATCTATTGGAGATAGATGAAATGTATAAAATGTTCTCAGGTGGCACAAGATATAAACAAGAACTGGAAAAAGACAAATAAGAATAGGAGTTACTTAGAAAGAAGAAAAAGGGAAAAAAGCTGGCCTTCAACATGGAAAGATTTTGAAGGTTTTGAAAGGACAACTAAGAAGACACCAAGGCGCAAAAACCAAATACAGTGGTGCCTCACAAGACGAATGCCTCGCAGGACAAAAAACTCACAAAACGAAAGGGTCTTGAGAGATTTTTGGTGCCTCCCAAGATGGGCCATCTTGTGATATTTTTCGTCTTGCGAGGCACATTTCCCATAGGAATTCATTGAAATTTAATTAATGTGTTCCTATGGGGAAAAGTCAGAAACAAAAAAAATCAGCAAAAAGTCACTTACCAGGTAGCCCTGGAATAGCCTGGAAAAAGACTGCCAAACAGCAGAGAATCGGCAACCAGCAGCCAGTTTGTGGTCTTCTCTGCTCCTGCCCTGCCTCTCAGCTGATCGGCGCTGGGTCTAAGAGGCTTTTTGCCTGCTAGGCAAGCCTCCGGAAGACTCTTAGATCAGCTGCCCCCCTTTCCCCACCTCTCAGCTGATCAGTGCTGGGTCTAAGAGTCTTCTGGAGGCTTGCCTAGCAGGGAAAAAGCCTCTTAGACCCAGCACCGATCAGCTGAGAGGCGGGGGGGGGGGGAAGGAGCAGAGACAAAATTTTCGCTAGACGGCATTAACTGTGGAACGGATTAATTTCGTCTTGCAAAGCACCACTGTAATTATAAGCAAACCATGTAACACGATGTTTAACAAGCATAAATTAAATGTAGATAGATTGAAAAATTAATAAAAATTAATAAAATGTGTATATAAAAAAAGTTCATGCTTAACCAGGTCTGATAGCATTGTTACAGCTTCACATCCACATTGTGATCCCTCATTGTCTGGGATCATTCATATGGCTAAAGCTGGCTACGATATGGCATTTGATGCTGTGGTGCATTGTACTCCTGCTTAAATTAGAAAATAATGCCTTCTGATTTGCATCCATACATATAAATAGCATATGCAATTTCATGCAAATCTGTGTTGTTTTGTCCTTTTATTAAGACATGTCCTTTCTGGGGGGGGGGGGTTTAAGTAGCTACATTAGGTTAGGACCTGATTCCCTTCTGACATAATGAGGTGCTCTTCTTTATAGAAAGTGCTCTCAGCCAGCCTTGAAGATGTTGGCTAAGAATGGCCAACTTCGCTCCTCCCCCCCCCTTTCCCATAAAGGAAGCACCAACTGAGAGTGAGAAAAGGAAAGGGACAGGGAATAGGGAGCAGGAAAGTGATCAGAGACAACAGGAGGGGGGCAAGCTTTAGAAAGGGGGTGCATACCCTCCACAGATTAGAAGTCCTTACTTCATTTTAAATTATGCTGTCACATGACTGTAATATAACTGAGGAATATTCTTTTTTGTTTGGAAACAGTGAACACATCTGTGAGAGAATAGTGGATCCCAGTGGGTTATTGGTAAGCAGCCATCGCTTCAGCTCTGCAATTTATATTATGAGTCACTTAGTTTTTGAAATGAGATTTCCTTTGTCACCCATCTTCTCATTTTAGTTGCTCAAGATCCAAAGTCTGTCAATTGTCTTTTGACTACAGAGATGCATGTAGGGATACCATGTCCAGACAACAGCTACCTGAATGGTTACCAGTTCGGTAGCAGTGTGTATGTGATGTAGGAAGGAGGGAGGACTTATCATTCTGAATGTAACCCTGTGATTTGTGAACCGTGAATTTTACAGTACTATTTTCTCTCCCTATGGTGGCCAGATACAACCTCTTACTATTTCAGTTTGCTACAAATAATTCTTTAAAATTGCATGCCTTACATATTTGGCTGAGCTGAGCAAATAGTAAAGAGGTGAGGGGGAGAGAGATTAATGCTTTCATAGTCTGGATGGCACCAATTTAATAAGCAATGGGCATATCTTTAGAATTCCTACATGTACATTTATTAAGGACTTTTATGTAAATGTTAGATTTCAGTTCTTGATGTATATTTACATAACAATGGCTGTCTCTTTTTCACCAGCTA